GCAATGGGGTGTCTTCTCTCTGAACCAATCTCCTTTTCTCTACTCTGGGAGTTGCAGTCCTGCTATAAAACCAAGTGTGTTTGTGAATAAACTTGGCTCTTTCTTCCTGTCATGAAAGAGAACCATGGAGCTGTGCATCTTATTTCTGCCTCACTTAAAGGGTTAAAACCCCTTCCCAGGGCTACACACCAGGGACACCCCCAGGGCTGGGGCAGCTCCTCCCTGGAGTGCTCTGCAGTGGAAGTGGCTGCATTTCAGGCTGGGACTGCCCCACAGAATCCCAGAATGGTTTGGGTTGGGAAGAGCCTTCAAGCTCCTCTCATTGCAGCCCCTGCTGGCACCTTCCACTCTTCCAGGATACCCGGACTCCCATCCAGCCTGAGCCTCAAGCAGGGTGTTTGCTGTCCTAAAGATATAAAAATGCATCTTTTGGTTGGGTGTGGGTTGTTGTTTGCTCACAGATGTCCCGAGGTGCCATCCCCACCCTGCTGCCATTCCCCTGGGAGCTGCTGGGCTCTGGGCTGGGAGAAGCTGCTGGAGGTGGAACCTGACTCACTCATGTTCAGCAATTTCCTGAACAACACCTTACACGTTATAAATTTAAAGAGATTTTTTTTTTAATCATTCGGACACGGTTTGTTTTTTTTTTTTCCCCGAGGGGTTTTTTATCCTCGGTAAGCCCGGGATAAAGCCCTTGTGTAACCCATTAATCTGGGGTTGCCATCTGCACTCTGTGTGTGCCCCCAAACTCCCTGGTCAGGAATTCCTGCCCCGAACGGCTGCAGGGAGCTGGGATTTGGTGTTGCAGGAGATAAAGGCACGGTGGGATCTGAGCCTCTGATCCCTGAGCAAACTGCACAGGGATGGATAAATAGACAATGGAAAACCAGGGAGATGAAAGCTGGGCCGGGGTGAATACATGGAATGGTTGGAGAGAGTGTTGGGTTTTTATCACCCTCCCAGGCAGGAATTGTCACTCCTGGTGATGCTGAGTGGGACTCACTGAATTCGTGCCTCCCTCCTTGGGAAATCTGGGAGCAGCATCCCCTTCCCAGAGGATGAACTTGTAGCAATAGTGAGACAATTTTCTCAGCACCTCTGAGGGTATTTACTTTTTCCATTTCAGTTCTACATCTGTTCACTTGCCGACTTGGAATTTGCAACCATCTTATTTAGGAGAAGGAATTGATTTCTCGGTCTGTTACTGCTGCTCTTGGTATAATTAAAGCATATTGCAACGTGAGGAATTTCTCCTGGCCTGGGAACTGCTTTGCCACTCGGGTAATTCTGTAAACCAAGAAAAGCTTGTCCTTTTCCTCTGGAATGTAAATTACAGTTCCAGCTGCTTTAAAGCCTTTGTTCTGCTGCAAGGCACTGGGGGCTCTTGGTTCAGGGCTGTGCAGGGGCCTGGGGGCTTTTGCAAATCAATCCCTCAGGGATTTGGCATCCAGGCTGCTGCAAATCCCAGCTGAGGCACCAACTGGTCTTGCCCAGTGTGGTGTAAATGGGAACTGGGACGAGCCTGTTCTCTCCCAGCTCCTGGGCAGGGCTTTGCTGGTCTGAGCTTTATGGGGCAGCCCTGGGGGGGCCAAGGGGGTCTGGGTGAGCCTTGGGCAGAGCCCAGAGGGTGATGGAGACATGGATCAGACTGAGGAGAATCCTTCAGGGAAATCTTCAGGCCAGTCCTGGAGCCTCTGGAGATGGGAGCAGCCCTGGCCAGGGCTGGGGGCAGCTCTGAGTCCTGCCAGGATCTGCTGCACTGAGCCATGCCCTGGACACTCCAAAAGGAAAACCCGAGCTGCAGGGATGGGCTTGGTTCTGCTCCTTCTCACCTTTAATAAAGGAGGGCTCTGAGATCCCTTGTGAGACCTGTCCATGATCTCTGTGGGGAATCAGATCCATGCAGCCCTGCTCTGTAAAATATTTCCTGCAATGATTTCCTCCTTCCACCCTGCTCATATCTACAATAAACTCGCTGTCAAAGCTGTCATTGGGAGCTCGTGTGAGACAGAGAGAGACTGAGAGAGGGAAAAATCCCTGGGATCAATAAGGAACAAGAGCCCTCCCCCTGCCCTGCTGTAAACGGGCATTAATGGGCCATCATTGGAGTTTAATTAAAACCCAAGTCAGCCCCGTGCCAGGTTTCAGGCTGGTGCTGTCTGGCACAGCAAATCTGGAGAGACTGAGCTCAGAGCAAGAATTCCTGATTCATTTGCTCTTTGCTCCTGGGATGGGCACCAGGCTATGTCAGGCTGTCACATTCAAAACCTGTCATTGGGATTTAATTCCAGCAGCCTCTCCTTGGGCTGCTCCTGTGGCACATTCCCAACCCTGGAGCTCCCAGGGGTGCACAGGGTGGGATTGTTGGGGGTGGGTCTGTGCAGGGCCAGGGGCTGCACTGGATGACCCCTGTGGGTCCCTTCCAATTCAAGGTATTCCGTGATTCTGTGAAAAGATTTCATCCTGTATTTGCTTCCCTAAGTGGCTTCCTGTGGAGCTGGTCGGGATTTTTGGAAAGATTTACTTAGTTCCCAGCTGTCGTTCCAATTCTCTTTGCCACTCACCTTCCTGTGCTCCGTGTGGAATTTATTTCAGTTCTGTGAGGGGTTTGCATTTCAGCCGCGGGGATGGTCACGGCAGCTCAGAGAGGATGGAACCAGAACGAGATCCTGGTGATGGGAATGATTATCATCACAGAGAGACAGAACAGCAGAGCTGGGAGTGCAGGTAGGCAGGGAGGGAGGCAGGGGAGGGCTGGGGAAACAGAGCTTAGAAGAAGAATCCGTTTTTCCTTTCTACTCCTCAATGCTGACACAAAGTGAGCATCAAAAATCCCCTCCCTGAGGTGAGGCTGCCGAGCTTCTGTCCCGTGTCTCGTGGCTGAGCTGTGGAACCTCAAACGTGCTACAAATTTCCTTTGAGCCCAGAGGATGAAGTCAGGACTCGTTCCTGTCCTGACTGCCTGCAGGGACTCACGTCCACGAGCCGTGGTTATAAACCAGGAATTGCTGGGTTTTTTTCCTTTTCTGTTTTTTTTTTTTTTTTTTCCCTGTGCCATCAGGGCTGGTGCTGTTTGATGTGTGCCTGGCTCCATCTCTCACATGGAGTAACAACATTTTGGAGGTGCTGTCGTTCCCTGGTGCTGAGCACGGCTCTCTGTGAACTTGCTAATTAATTTTTTGCTCTTTTCTTTAAGCTGGTGGTCAGGCTGCTGCTGGTGGTGTGGCTGTAGCAGGGAGAGGAGGAGCTGTGGGAGGAAGGATCCCAGATCCCAAATCAGCTCTTCCATCATTCTCCAAACCCCTGCCTGCTCCTGGCTGGCCTAAGATGGGTGAGCTCAGGCTGGACTGGGCTCACCTGGGTGAGCAGGAGCCAGGCTTGGGAAAACCTTTGGCTTGGCTTAAGGTCTGGATCAGTGGGACAAGGCGTTTTCAGGGGCTGAGAGGACTCCAGAATGGTTTGGGTTGGAAGGACCAGCCTTGTGCCTGCTGCACCTGTGGGCACAAAGCTGCCCAGGTGAGCAGCTCCTTTGCTTTGTACAGGTTTTTGGGAGAGCAGAAGGCTCCTGGTCCTGGGCAGGATGGATTTGGGAATCCCTGCCCTGCCCCTCCCACACACACAGGGCTGCAGCACGTTCAGACAATCTTCCTTTAATACAAAGTCAATATATCTACATACACCGTGGTATGAAAACCACTTACTGTTTCAGTTTGAAATAACAGTGTGAAAGCAACAGCACTTTGCTCTCATACAAAGAAAAAATCCTCCCCCCCTCCCCCCGACTTGTCCAGTAAGATTTTGCTGCAACATACTTAGAAATTTGGGCAACTTTCACACAAATAAGTAAAATCTCGAAGAAGCCTTTCAGTCGGTTCTTTTTTTTTTTTTTTTTTTCTTTTTTTTTTCAGTTAAAGACAGGAAATGAGTTGTGTGGGGGGTTCTGGGCAGCACTTGATGGCCATGATTACCCCTTCTAGAAAAATAAAAATTAAAAAAAAAAAAAAAAAGGAGAGGGCAGAGGTGAGCAGAGTTTGGGGCAGGGTGGCTTTTCTCAGATATCCTGTGCTCTGTGCATGGCTGCAGGAAAATTCCTGGGCACTGGAGCCAAACCAGCACAGAGCCAGGCCGGGTTGGTACCTGTAACACACCTGGGATGTTAAAACACCTGATGGCTGTCAAGGCTCCAAAATCACATCTCTGTCTCCAGTCAGCAAAAGCCACTGGTGGTGTTGAATCTCCCAGTTCAGCCCTGGCCTTTCCTGGCCACAGCTGAAGGGGAGGGAATTGGCACTGCCACCACCCCTCACCTGCTGCTCCCCACCCTTCCAGGGACCTGGGATATGTCTGTGATTGAAAACAAGAGAACCCAAAAAAAAAAAAAAAAAATTATTAATAATTAAAAAAAAAAATCCAGAAAGGACATTTTCTTCTTACATGAGCAAGTTAAACCTTTTAAATGGTAGAAAAGCAATATGTAGAAGTAGCAATTTGCACTGCATTTTTATATATCACAGCCATTACACGTAACATTTCTACAGTGAAAAAATAGACTGTCTTTGAACATAATATGAACAAATAAGCAAATTTTTCTTTTAAATTCATTGACTGATATTCTTTGTCTTTAAAAAAAAAAAAAAAAAAAAAAAAAAAAAAAATACACTATTTAAAAAAAAGGTAATGTCACTTGTTACAGTTACATCGATACTTTAAAGAAAGCCACTCACAGTATTTGCCATTGGATGCA